ACCTTGAGTACTGTGTGCAGTTCTGGAGGCCTCACTTCAAAAAGGATGTGGACAAAATCAAGAGGGTGCAGAAGAGAGCGATGGGGATGATCAGGGGTCTGGAGACAGCCCTACGAGGAAAGACCCTACAAGGAAAGGCTGAGGCCCTTGGGAATGTTGAGTTTGGAGAAGAGGAGACTGAGGGGGGACATGATTGCTCTCTTTAAATATTTGAAAGGCTGTCATTCGGAGGAGGGCAAGGACAGGACCCAAAGCAACGGGTTTGAATTACATGCAGAAAGGTATCGGCTGGATATTAGGAAAAACTTTTTCACAGTCAGAGTGATTCAAAGGTGGAATCAGCTGCCTAGAGAGGTGGTGAGCTCCCCTTCACTGACAGCTTCCAAGAAGAGGCTGGACGAATATTTGTTAGAGATGCTCTAGGCTGGTCCTGCATTGGGCAGGGGGTTGGACTAGATGGTCTGTATGGCCCCTTCCAACTCTATGATTCTATGAACTGGTATGCGTGACTCTTAGGATTGCTTTGGGGCATCATCTGAATTTTGGATGACTGAAGTTATTGTTACCTGTCCAAATGTCTTTTCAGGCAAAACACACGACTGTGTGTTTGGTGTAGTGGTTACAAGTGCGGACTCTAATCTGGGAGAACCGGGTTTGATTCCCTGCTTCTCCACATGCAGCTGCTGGTGTGACCTTGGGTCAGTCATAAGTTCTCTCAGAGCTGTTCTCTCAAGGACAGTTCTTGAGAGGGCTTTCTCAGCCCCACCTACCTCTGTTGTGGGGAGGGGAAGGAAAAGGGATTGTAAGCCGCTCTGAGACTCCTTCGGGTAGTGAAGGGTGGGGTATAAGTCCAATCTCTTCTGCCCGCAGCATCTACAGCAAGTGCAAACGTAAAGAGCTCATTATATCTATGAATCAAGTAGGTGCATCTGCCCGCTATCCAGTCAATTCAACACTCCTATTGTGACTGTCTGTGTGCTCTTCCCTGGTGACGCTGAGCAGCCCCCCCCCATAGCCAGGAGCACAGGAGGTGGAGCACTTACAGGCAAGTGGGGGGGGACGCACAGGCAGGCAGCAGAGGAGGCCTGGGGGTGGGCATCAGTGGCAGTGGGCCTCGCCAGATGCCCCGCCTCAGGGGATGCTGACTCCAGTCCTGCTTCCATGTCAAGTTGTGGGTAATCCCTTGAAGCCTATCATATCGCCATGCCTCCCAGAAGCATTTCAGGTAGCTGAGCAAGTCGGGCTCCAGCTGACCCGTGCAGCAACGTGCACAGCAAACAATACAGAGTTTCTCGTGGCACTTACAAGGTCTGTTGTGCCAACAGCAGAAGAGGATGTGTGCTACCTTCACGGGGAGGATTCCGTGCTCCAGTTCCCCCAAAATCAGTTCAAGTAAAAAGAGTTGGATGCCTTCCAGTAATTCCATCCTCTGTGACCTGTTTATGCCACAGTCCGCTCAGCTCCGAAGAACTTTGAGAACATGCAGATCCTGTTACAAAAGCCAGCGATATCAGTCTTCTGAAGGAAGCTGTTCTCCGTACAGTAGCTGAAGGTAATAAAACAATTAAACCTGACAAGCAGACTTTAGCTGCAGAAGGCTGGACTACTTTTTACTCTTTTCTCCATGTGTCAAAAGAACTGTAAAAATGTTGCATAGAAAATTACTTGCTGTATCAGGGCCCTAACTTTTGTTGAAAAATAAGAGTAACAGATAAGGAAGTATTATAAATATCACACTGACAAAAAAAGCACTCTAATGTTTTGTTTACTGTTATTTAAAGCAGCAGAATAAATCATTTTCTGTACGTTTAGGAGTTTTCATCATAACTTCTCCTGCTACATTATGCCCCGATATTACCAACATTTTTTAAAAATAACCATTTATCTGGATTTATTACCCCCCCCAAGTTATAAATGTTAAAAACTAGTGCTTTATTTTGTTTTTACAAAAGAATTAGTTTATTTGGTTTTATTGACCCAAAAAACATACAGTTTGACACCAATATGAACAGGCTACAAAAATATGAAAAAAAGATCCGCCATCTTGCAAAATGGTGGCTGCAGGAAAAACGGCTACCTCTGCAATTAATATAATAGTGCATTTGGCTTTATTGACCTCAAAAACACATATTTTGACACCAAGATGAACATCCTACATGAATTCTAAATATTGTCATAACCATATCAGCCATCTTGGGAAAGGTTGGCTACAGGAAGAACTTGGAATGTTCACCAACAGTATTCTGAAACACATACAAATAATAACCTTTTGTTTATATAAATGCAGGGCTATTTTTGGGCAGGAACGCGCAGGAATGGAGTTCTGGCTGGCTTCAGAGTTGCCCACGCCCACTACAGCCAAAACGTATGCATGTGTGGGTACAGAGGGAAGGCCTGGAGAGCGACACCACCACCCCCGGCCACTCCGACACCCACCCCCACTGATGGAAGTCCTGACTCCCACCTGGCTTCCCCCCAGAGCTTCCTTCCCCTACCAAAGAAGTCCTATCCTGCCCCCCACATTTGACTTCCTCACCCCCTCCCGCAGCTAAAAGTCCTGCCTTCCAGCCTTGATTTCAAGAGCTTGGGAGTCCTCCCACCCAGCCACCCCTAATCCATTTACTCTACCGCCCCCCACAAGTGGGAATAAAACCGGGGAGGGTGGGTTCAGGCCCAGTCTTCCCAGATTCTGAGCTTCAGTTACCATCTCTGGGCTGGGAAATTCCAGGACAGTGGGGTTTGGGAAGGGGAAGTGCATCATACTATACAGTCCACCCTCCCAAAAAGTAGCCGTTTTCTCCCAGGAATCTGATCTCTGACGTGATAGAAAAAGTCTGAACAGTCGTTGATGGAAAAGGAAAGCCTGAGAAGGGGGGCGCTGGGTCAAGCTGGTCTGTCCACGTGTCCCTGACACAACCAGTTCCCCTGAATCTGACGACAGGAAAGGAAGTTTCTGGGGATGACCAGGGCCAGCCCCAGCTTATTTTGCACCCTAGGCAAGGATCCCTTCTGGCACCACCCCCCCCCATGCACCCACCAATTTTCAAAAATAAATGCATTTTAGGAAGAATGAAACACACAAATGAAAAACACCAATAATCAAGAAACTCCCAGAGTACGGGGCGGGTGCAGCTTGGCGCCCCTAAGGGCCGGCCCGCTCTAGGCGATCGCCTAGTTCGCCTAGTGAGTGAGCCGGCCCTGGGGATGACAAAGCAGCAACCCACAAGTGGGCCAGAGGCCTGTTTGTCGGCTGCAAGAGGCACCTTTTCACTTTCAGTCTGAACACTCCTTAAACTGCAACGCAGGGTGAAGGTGGTGGTGGTGGGGGGAGGCAGGCCTGACACCCAAGTAGGGTTGCCAGCTCGGGATTGGGAAATACCTGGAGATTTTGGAGGTGGAGCCTCTGGAGAGTACAGTTTGGGGAGGGGAGGGACCTCAGCAAGGTACAAGGCCATAGAGTCCACCCTCCAAAGCAGCTTGTTTTCTCCAGGGGAACTCATCTTGGTCATCTGGAGATTGGCTGTAATAGCAGGAGATCTCCAGTTGCCACCTGGAGGCTGGGAACCCTACCCCGAGTTAGGGGTTCCACTGCTGCTGGGAAAAGAAGTGGGGGAGGAGCCAGGATATTGCTCCCCCCCCCAAAGGGTTCCTCCATCTACTTTCAACAGCTGCCCCACAGGCAGCAATGCAACAGTTTGTCTCTGGCATGTGGCATGTAGCTTCACCTGCTGAATTTCTGCCTATTAGAAGCATAGGTCGCCCACAAAGCAGAGAGGATGGGCAGCCCTAGTTTAGTGTAGGAGAGCTTGGGTGGAGGGAAACGAAATGGGCACAGGGACCTGTTAATGGGCACTAGGAAAGACCACCATTTCTCGCCCGGGCTCCACGAAGGGCCAAGAGCACCCAGTGTTTGGCTGCCAGGCGGCCAGTAGTCCCCCAGTGCCACCCCACCTGAGGGGGAGGGGAGGAGGGCGGAGCTGGATGCCCGGTTGCCACTGTTTTATGGCCCCACCCGCCTTAACGTCTGTCAGCACTTTGATCTGCAGCTCTGAGGTAAAAATTCTTCCGAAAACGTCACCCGCTGATCTCTGCAGATCAAAGCCACTGTTCAAAGGCAGAGAAGGAGCACAGGTTTTGGGGGGGCCAGTTAGCAACTCACTGGAGGTGTGGAAGCAGGGCCCCCAGGTGGTGGTGGTGGTGGTGGTGGTGGTGGTGGTGGTGGTGGTGTTTCTGGTTCTTCTTCCTCTTCCATGAGGGATGAAGTTTTCAGATTTGCCCCATGAGGCACAAGAAGCTGGACACGGAACAGGCAAAAAGGGAAACACTTGCCAGCTCACCACCCCCACAGGGCTCCTGTGCCTCTCACAGCTGTCTCGCAAGCAGAGATTTAGCAGGCAATTTAGAAGCTCCGGAGGCTTCTTGAGGGGTGGGCGGAGAGGCAAAGGAGCTTGGGGCATCTAGGAAAGATTAAGAGTGGGGTTCTGATACAGAGGCCAAAAAGAGCAGCCAACCGGAAGCCCAGAACCGCTTGCCTGCTCTGACAGAAGCATCCGTGGGTCAGAAGACGGGACCCTGAAGCTCACCGCTCTGAAGCAGTGGCATCTAAAGGTCCTCACCGAAGCCTAAGATGTCTAACAGCCAGGAGTGCCTCGGAGAAACCTGAACGTGATCTTTCTCATGTTCGGAGGCTGAGAGTCATTTCCTAATTGTGAAACTGTTTGCTCACGTCTCTTGTTCAACGACTCTCTTCCCTGCAGGGACTGGCACAGAAGGCATCAGCCCCGCGTGGATTTCTCAGAGACCGGGGCCCTCTCTCGGCTTGCTTCCCTCCTCCTCTTTCTCGCCTGCCCGTGTCTTCTTCTCCCTTTCCCCTCCTCTCTGGTAACCTACCCTTCCTTTCTTGGTAATTCCACCCGCCCCAGCAGCCAGGCTGGGCGGTGACCTTGGTGCCTCGTATATATGCACAAGACGCCAGGATGCTTCATAGCCCTCATCCTGGGTCACCTTGTCCAGCAGGACGGAGAGAGACAGGCGCACCTGACAGGTGAGCCGTCTTGGGGCCTGGAGAGGAGGAATCAGAGGGGCTGGCAGGATTGGGTGTGGCACATTTTGCCTTCTGGGGGGCACCCAGACCCAGGGTGGGAAGAAGGTGGGGAGCTGGGCGGGTGCCCAGAAAGGTTAGCGTGGCTCCAGCTGTTAATTTCTCATAACCCTGCTGATGTGAAAAGCCCCACATCCCAGTCCCAGGGTGGGGTGTCATGTGGTTCTTTTCAGGGATTTCAAAATGCATTTTGCACATGCTCAGAGGCATGCTGCTCTTCAGTAAGAACATATAGCCTCCAACTAATCCAATGGCAGGCCAGTGGCTTTTGGGCACTCCCATTCAAGACACGGCTGGTCGTCTCCTGTTATCTGCCCCTCCCATTCAGTGTTCAGAGATAAGCTGCCTCTGACCATGGAGGTTCTGCAGAGCTACCGCAGCTAACCATCCGCTGACAGACTGCTCCTCCATTAATAGGTCTAATCAGTTTTTAAACTGCTGGCCATCATCCCATCTAGTGGCATCGCGTTCCAGAAGTTACTTGCGCATTCTTACTGCTTCACGTCTTCTAGGACTTTTAGCCCAGGCATGTTTTCTTCTGAGCACGGGGATTCTTGAGCTGTGTTCTGGCTTCTGTTCAGGTCACTTTGGAAGATTTGTCCTTTCTATATAAAAAACATTCTGGGTTGGAACTGCTGCGATAGCTATCGGGAAGGATCATTGTATCTGTACTGTACCTGTCTTATTGTTTTAATCTTGTGTTAAATGCTGTGTAACCTTGTGTTAAATGCTATGATGGTATCTCCTGAATGTTGTACACCTCCCTGAGCCCCTAGTACAGGGGAGGGCGGTTTAGAAATCGAATTTATAAATAAATAAATAAATAAAATATGTAGGTTGCTATTTGGGGCATTTTTCATTTTTTGTACGCACGCTGCACGTGTTGATACAGTGGCAGTGAGGGGTAAGCAATAATGGCATGTGAGGACCAACTGGTAACTTCAATGTGGATGCCAGCAATCACAGGGAAAATGCGAACAGCTAGATTGGAAGTCCAGTGGCACCTTAGAGACGACACGATTTTGGGGGGTCTAAGCTTTCGAGAGTCAGAGCTCCCTTGGTCAGAGAAGTTGGAAATCCAAAACTGCTTTGAACATGCTTAGAACTTTCTCCACAGAAAGTTAACACTCCCCACCAATGTTCCCTCTAAGCTGTGGAGTCTTGTGAGCAAAAATTCTCCTTTGTGAGCTACTGGCATGAAAGTTGTGAGCAAGAG